ATTGCATTAATTTATAAAGGAGACAGTCAAAGATATATTATCCAAGCATAAAACCATAACCAGGAAAGGCAAATAAAATTAAATGTTATACTCTGTAACATATTCTCTAAAATCAAGGTTCAATTAAAAAAAAAAATCTCTGTTGCTATCAAATAAAAATGTTTTACTTAATTGTACCCATACCGTTTTTTCTGTTTTAATGATAAACACAAAAAAAAAGTGTTTTAAGAAAACAAAATTCCAGTTCCTTAATAAATTTATAGCATTATAAGAAAGACTTTTTATAATGCAACATTATAGGCACTTTAGAAGGTACCTAAACTTAACAGCGGGCAAAGAAGCTCAGAAAACACTATGAAACTATAAAGGCCCAAATTACAGTGTTTTATTTATAACTGCAGAGACTCTTTCTTATGCATGTGGACTGTTCCCTATATTATAGGCCAATTCCTCTTTCTAGCCTCGACTTTACCAAAATTCATGATTCTAGCTGACAACTATACTGCCAAGGAAAATTTTAACGTAAGAATACAGGCATACTTCAGTTTATTGCATTTCACAGATAGCTGCGTTTTTTACAAATCAAATGTGTGAAGCAACCTTGCATTGTCAGATGATGATCAGTATTTTTTTAGCAATTAAGTATTTTTAAAACGGGGGAGGAAACGGCAACCCATTCCAGTATTCTTGCCTGGGAAATCACATGGTCACAAAGAGTTGAACACAACTTTATGACTAAATAACGCAACATTTTAAAATTAAGGTATGTACCTATTTTTAAGACACAATGCCATTGCACTATACTGTTGAAAAACTACAGTATAGTGTAAGCATAACTTTTATACCCACTGGGAAACCAAAAAATTTGTATGACTCCCTTTATTGAGATAGTCACTTTACTGCGGTGGTCTAGAATCAAACCCAGAATATCTCCAACGCTTCCCTGTAGTGCAAACTCAAGTAAAAGAGATGTGACAACATACTACAAAAATACAAAAGATCCTAAGAGACTAGTATGACCAACTATATGTCAACAAATTTGACAACTCAGAAGAAATTAATAAACTCCTAAAGAGAAAACCTACCAAGACTGAATTACGAAGAAATAGAATCTGAGATGGATTACTAGTAAGGAGATGGTAACAATAATAAAACATCTCCAACAAACAAAGGCCAGGACTGGAAGGCTTCACTAGTGAACTCTACTAAACAACAAAAAAGAATTAATTATTAGGATATAACATGAAAAGCAAAAGAAATAAAAGCAAAAATAAACAAATGGGAACTAATTAAAATTAAAAACTTTTGCACAGCATAATGAAAAAGACAGCTTGTGGGATGAGAGAAAATATTTAAAAATTAGGGATATGGGATTAAGAGATACAAATTACTATATATAAAATACAACAAACATTTATAGCATAGAGAATAATAGCCACCAACTTGTAATAGCTTTTAATGGAATGTTTTCTGTAAAAATACTAAATCACTATGCTGTAAACCTAGAACTAATATAATATTGTAAATGATAGACTATTGTGGAATAGATGAATATGTAGAAAGGCAAGATTGAAGGCTGTGTTAAGAATCTGGTGAGAGCAGTGTATTAATCGAGGGTGAAAGCAGAAAAGATAGTTAAGTATAGTTGAATACTGAATATATTTTGAAAATAGAACTGTAAAATATTTGTTTATTTGTTGAGTGAGAAGTATAGAAGAAAGAAGTAAAGTTGACTCTATAAAGTTTTTGACCCAAGCGACTGGAGGGCCAGGAGTAGTTATTAATTGAAATGAGGAAGTTTGCAGGAGGAATGGGTTTATTAGGGACATTCATGAATTTTGTTTTGAATAAGATGAGCTTATATTCCCATTAGCCAAGTAGAGATATCTGGGAGACAGTCGGACATCAAAGTCTGGAGTTTGGGTTGTAGATATAAATTGGGGAGTTTCATTTAAAATTGTAATAGTGATTATTATTAAGTTATTATGAATAACTAATACTAATCATCCTAAAAGATGATGCTGTGAAAGTGCTACATTAAATATGCCAGCAAATTTGGAAAACTCAACAGTGGCG